ACAATTCTTTCAGTCAATGAAATATACTTGCACAAGAAAGCTGTATTTAATTGTATTGATTGTATTTAAAGGGACCAGGTTCAAATCATTTTACAATCCCTGCAAGATCAAATACTGAGATTTTCCTGGCCGAGCCTCTCGATTACGAGCTTGATAGATTTTACAATCTTACTTTGATTGTATATGATGACAACGTGAGTATAATTTACATACTGATGAATCGTGTGTTTATAATTATTTATTTAACATCTTCAAGGAAACATTAGTTTGATTGCAGAAAATATAATATGTATTTAGACACCTTTTTGTAGACTACATTCATGTTTGAAATTCATTTTTATATTTGGTTGATTATGTGGGCCACTCATAAATAGTATATTACCAAAAATAACATTCCACCCAATATTGCGTGTGGTAGCCGACATCGCGTAAGACAGCTACTAATATCAAACCTTGGTAATTTAATTAGATGTTTGTTCGTATTTGTATATTCTTGACTACTGCAGACAAATTGTCTTATTTCCTTTAGTTTGCCATGCTTTAAAATACACATAAACGTGCCGGTTGTGCCGGTTTGTTGCTTTTAAAAATAGTATTCATTTATGAATAAAGTGGCGAATGTAGATTTAGTCTGATCATGCGTGGAGTTGATGTTGTTTGGTGATCTGAATTATTTATCAGCACATTTTTCTTTACAGGGAGGTACATCTGCATTGAATGATACCGCCACATTATACATCCAGGTCGATGATGCAGATGACTTGAGTCCAGCATTTCAGGATATCATTTACACTGATAGTGTGTATGAAAATTTCACTGGTCCGCTAAATGTGAATATAGATGCTTTTGATTTAGATTTTGGAATAAATGAGCCAGTATACTATAGCTTTGCAGGTAACGAACACTTATTGTCTTTAACAACAAATAATTCTGCAAACCACTAGAAGTCAGCTCGTTGCGGAATGTATAAGCTGATTTGATTTATGTATAGACACAGTATCTATTTGCTAAGTATCAATCGTTGACATTAGTGCTTTTATTGCAGACCCCGACAGAGAGAATACAACAATATTTGAAACAGAGTACTTCCACATTGATACCATCACTGGCGTGTTAACTGTGATCAAAGAACTCGACAGAGAAGCTACGCAGACTGGTACGATTACGGAAGTTTTGAGGGTATGAGTTATCTACAGCACAACTAATTTAACACAGTAATAAAAATCTTACCATAGAACATTTAAAATATTTACTTCCAAAACATAGTTTAAAAATCCTTATAATATCTGTTAATTCTGTTCCATTTAACATTAACATTAGAATATGAGGTAACAGTTATACCTCCTTCATTGATCCAATAGTTAAATTGCAGGAACGCTTAATTGTCCCAGGCTTACGTCAACACGTCCCATGGGAACTATACCTTACCTTACTCACACTGCAGACAAAAATTCGACTTTAATCAATAACACTACTATGTGAATACCTGGAACAAGGAGTGGGAAAGCCACGAACCGGACAACAAAACTTATTTTGCCCCTCAAATTAGGTTTCTTTTTCTTCCGTCATAAAGTTTACAGTTAAACATTCCATGGTTATATAGGTCAGGTCATAGTCCCTGGAGGGACTGTGGTTAGGTACACTATTTAATTGGCAAAAGCAAGTCTCGTGACAATCTCGCTCGCGCCAAGATATCGGCGGCCATTTGCGTCAAAGATATACCCAACGATATTTTCCTGAAATACTAAAAAGTGAAACCATTATTGCTACAATTTGCTCGTAGTTTTTCCTAACTCTCCAAATTCAATACAATTTGTTACGCTAAATTAAAACAGTTCACAACTTTGTCATATTTGCACAATGTCAGAGCAATAATCATGTCATCATCTTGTACATGTACGAATGTGTCCTACATGTCATAGGGGGAAAAGTTTTCAAGCTTTAAACAATATCTAAGCTTGTTTGGCGAATCATTGAAGCTAGTATATTGAAGCTCACAGTTTAAATTTTCACTTAATAACATATTGGCACAACATAGAATCATGTTTGTTTGACCGATTTGTTGCCAATTTAATAATATTTGATTTCCGATTTCTATCAATTCTTAGTATCGTCGATATCAGACATTTGGTTAGCTAGCTGGAATACATCCTTGACTCAACCATTCTTTGTTCACTCAATCACTTTTTGTGACCTTTGTTAGATTGCAAAATAAAGGTCACAATAACCCATTGTGAGTTGAGGCAATAACGTGACTCATTCAATGCAATATACTATTACTTTATATATACATTGTTCAAATAAATTTGTTGCAACAAGTTATGCTGTTTTTCAGACTTCTCAAAATGATACTCGTGATTACCATATATATACATATCGAGATGGCTATGCTACTGTGGTAGTAACAGTACTTGATGTCAACGATAATGCTCCTATTATGAGTTCTCCTATATATTATGGTGAAGTTGCTGAACATTCGCTACAGGATACAATTGTGTGCGAAGTTAGCGCTACAGAT